TTACTTAAGCTGTAAGCTTGAGTTTTCTCATTTGAATAAATCTCATAGGAATATTAAATGGTATAGAAAGATCTTATATGTCAAGAACCATCTCAGCTGTGTTTCTGCTGCTGAGATAAAGATCATGACCAAAAGCAATTTGGGGAGGAATAAGTTTATTTCATCTTATACTTCCAGCTAACAGTCCATCACAGAGAGAAATCAAAGCAGGAACTCAAGGCAGGAACTGAAGCGAAGCCATGAAGAAAACACTGCGAACTGGCTTACTCCTCATGTTTTGCTCAGCCTGATTTCTTATGCATTCCTCCCATCAATTGTTAATCAAGAAAATGTCCTCCAGACTAGCCTACAGAGTATCTGGTTGGAGGCATTTTCTTAGTTGAGGTTTCTCTTCCAAATATGTCTAGGATTATATGAACAAACACCCATTGGGAGATGGAGTAAGGACCTGACAAGTCAAAGACAACCAATATTTGACACAATGAACTTTTTTTTAATCCTGCCTTGCATTTATTTTTCCTCTTAATACTTCTCATGTAATGGGATATTTCTAGAGAGTCTTAACAAGAAAATATTATCACACTGAAACTCCAGTGATGACTCCCTTCCATCGCACTTTGCCCATTGATAATGACTTTCAACCATCACACTGCACCCAAGGACAGAATGCTGCAAGTTTCTCATTCCACGGAAATTATTTTATCTTTTAGATTCAAAGCATCATGTTCCTCTCTCTCTCAGTCCCAGTGTTTTCTCTTTGCAGATTCTATACACTCTCATTGCAATTATGCCTACAGGTAACTAACTCCTCAGGGAAACATACTTTTTCCCCCTTTGCCAAGTGATCTATCTACTCCTGCAGTCTATAAAATATGACATCAAAAAGAAGTGTAACGAAGGGGATAAAGTGTAATTAATAAAGAAAAAAATGTAAAAAATAAATAAATTTTTAAAAAAGAAGTGTAATTTTCCACTTTGATCATGTTTTTAGAGTCAATCTGTAGTCCTTTTTTATGTTCCCAGTCAGTTTTTTATTTTTTTATTTTTGCCACAAATAGATTCACTGTCGACTATTTATGTTTACAGTTCAGCAAACACAGTTCTGTTTTGTTTTGTTGGGTTTTGTTGGTTCTGAGGGCAAAGTCTTATGTGGTCACAAGCTGGACTTGAACTCACAAGCAATCTTTTTACTTTGATCTCATGAGTGCTGAGATTACCATCACCACAGTGGCTCTCATACTCACTTTTCAAATCCTAACTTTCTCATTCACAAATTCTTACATCCTCTTCTTAGAAAATGTCACATAGGAAAAGCTCTATTGAAGATCTTTTCTTTTTCCTTTGTAGGTACATTGTCATGCCTTTTATATCTTCCATCAAGAATGGATGCAAAATGCTGCAATCCACACTTCTCACCTTGTTTTACTAATCAGTTCTTATCTCTATTCTTTCAGTCTCCCTCTACCTAAAATAGTTGCAGGTTTTTCTCATATGAAAAAGCAAATCCTAGTATCAATCTTACACCTCTCATGAGAAGTTGCCCTAACTCTTTCTGGTCTTCATGTTCACTTTTCTTTTAATTCATTTATTTTTTATTAATTACAGTTTATTCACTTTGTATCCCAGCTGTAGCCCCCACCCTCATCCCCTCTCAATCCAACCCTCCTTCCCTCATCTCTTCTCATGCCCCTCCCCAAGTCCACTGATAAGAGAGGTCCTCCACCCCTTTCCTATGACCCTACCCTATCAGGTCTCATCAGAACTGTCTGCATTGTCTTCCTCTGTGGCCTACTAAGGCTGCTCTTCTCTCAGAGGGAGATGATCAAAGAGCCAGACACATTTTGATCATGAGTTTATGTCAGAGACAGTCCCTGTTCCCCTTACTAGAGAACCCACTTGGAGACTGAGCTACCATGGGCTATATCTGTGCAGGGGTTCTAGATTATCTCCATACATGGTCCTTGTTTGGAGTATCGGTCTCAGAAAATACCCTTGTGCCCAGATTTTTTTGTTCTGTTGCTCTCCTTGTGGAGCTCCTGTCTCCTCCAGGTCATTCTATCTCCCCCTTCTTTCATAAGATTCCTTGCACTCTGCCCAAAGTTTGGCTATAAGTCTCAGCATCTGCTTTAATACCCTGCTGGGTAGACTCTTTCAGAGGCCCTCTGTGGTAGGCTCCTGTCTTGTTCTATGTTTTCTCCCTCTTCCAATGTCCATCCTGTTTGCCTTTCTGAGTGAGGATTGATCATCTTAACCATTCCTTCTTGCTTAGCTTCTTTAGGCGTACAGATTTTAGTATCCCACTTTATCTTTCCACTCATTATAATTTGATTTTTCTCTCCACAGATCTACAAACAGTGCTCATGGCAAGACCAAATCAATTTGCAATAGCCAACGGGTAACCACCCAACTTTGTTGTCTTTCTTGATTTTTTTTCATAACATTTGACATGTTTACAACTTTTTCCAATTATTTTCTTTCTTTTTTTTCTAAATTAAATAAATATTTTGAGGAAAGACAGTAGTCACTTACTATTTCTTTTTTTTTTTCACTTACTATTTCTTGCATTCATTAAATACTTGAGTTCTCCAAAGTCTTTACCTCCTTGGACCTTATAGTCAACAAAACAACTCTGCTGCCTTCAAAGAATCTCAGTGTCTTCTTGTGCAACACTATTTCTTGTTTCAGTGGTTCTAGTCCTGGTGTCACCGTAGATTGAAATGGTCCAGACTAGAGAACAAATCCATCTGAGGATCTCAAAGTCTTCTCCAATTCAGTACTTAACTTCATGAGATACCATGTAGATATTTGACAAGCCATTGTGAAACCAGAGTCATTTTTGAGTTATTCTACAATCTTAACAATAGAAAGAGTTTTTAAGAACTTAATATCACATACAATAGAGAATTGTTTATCTAAAGTTAAATCCTGGAATCTATCCATTTTTTAATCTGTATATTTTCCCACAGGAAAAAAAAATGTCTGAAGTTAAATGTGCCAGACATTAGTAATGAATGTTTTTCTCGTTCTAAGGCTTTCACATTATTCTTTTATATACCAATCTAATTTTATAATGAATTTGTATAGTTTCCAATACAATTTTAAAATCTCCTCTTTCTATGTAACCTGTCATCACATTCGATGGAATGACATGATTTTCTGACTCATTCTTTAATTAGAATTTTGAATGTAATCCTTGATTTCTGAAACTTTCACTCAACCTGTCTTAGACTCTTTTCTTCTGCTATAATAAAAAATTCTGGCTAAAGCAACTCAGAGGGGAAAGAGTTTATCTGGCTCCCAGATCTAGTTTACAATCTATCATGGAAGGGAGATGACAGTAGCAGAAGCTTGAAGCAGCTGGTCACACTGCGTCTTGAATAAACAAGCAGAGAGCCTCACATGCATGCAAACGTGAATGCTCAGCATGGTTTCCTCACTCCTACATGATCTAAGATCCCTTGCTTCGAGAATAGTGCCACTCAAAGTGCCCAGATCTTCCAACTAAAATTCATGTTATCAAGACCATTACTTACCCAGAGGCCCATCAATCATGTGATTCTAGCTTCTATCACACAGTCTTCTTGAATGTATCTTAAATCCATGCCCTTGGGAGGGACACAAAAGCACATTTCAAGAACAATTCTGTGTTTATTGAAAAAACTACGATCACAAGACATTTGTCTTGGTGTTTTGTTTTGTTTTGTTTTGGAGTTTTCTCGTAAGTATTCAGAATTCTGCCACACAACTTACTTCTATCTAACTTCTAGAATGTGTTTCAACAAAAAGGGGCCCTTGTATGATGCTGTTAGGAAGGTAAGTTAGTGATAACATGGAAACCAACAAGGATACTCTCCCAAAAAAGTTAAAAGTAGAACTGTAACATGACCCAACAATCCTATTTCTAGGTGTATTCCAAAGGAAACAAAACCAGCATTTCACAGAGAAGTCTGCACTGCCATGCTCACCACAGTACACAAGAAACAGCAGTGAATGAATGGATGAAGAAATTGTGATCAAAATATACAACGTAATAATAGTGTGTCCTCAAAAAAATGAAGAAGTCTTACCACAGTGTACTATCTGGAAGTACATATTAAATAAAATAAGCCAGGCACTGAAAGTCAAATACTGAAAGATTTCACTTCATATGGAGAACCTTAAAAAGTAAATTTCATAAACACATAAGGCTGCTTAATAAATGCTGGGTTGGTAAGGAAGCAGAAGGTTGGAAGAATACTGACCAAAGAATACATAAATACAGTTATCTAGGAGTAAATTTCGAGGGAGCTACTGTACATCAATGTGAATATAGTTAATCATGACACATTGTACTCTTTAAAAATTACAAAGGGGATGCACACGATAGCTGAATGGGTAGAAACTCCTGCCACCAAACCTGATGACTTGAATTCAGTCCTTGGGACTCACGTGGTGGAAGGAGAAAACCAACTCCAGCAAGTTATTCTTTGACCGCCACACTTGCACAATGGGTACACACATGCCCACATAGGTACATATACATATGCGTACAAAATAAATAAAATGGAAAAAAATATTTTAGTTACAAAATTAAATGCTGTATGGACTTACTATTAAAATATTGATGTGTCATATATATTTTTAATTGGCTACATGTGAATATTTTGTATATGTATTTTAAAATACCATGCTGCATACAAATTAAAATGCTATCTTCAGTAACAGGAACAGGAACTGTCTCTGACATGAACTGATTGGCCTGCTCTTTAATTAACTCCCCCTGAGGGGGAAACAGCCTTATCAGGCCACAGAGGAAGATAATGCAGCCACTCCTGATGAGACCTAATTGACTAGGATCAGAAGGAAGGGAAAGAAGACCTCCCCTATCAGTGGGCTTGGGGAGGGACATGTATGCAGAGGGTGGAGGAAGGGAGGGATTGGGACAGGAGGAGAGAGGGAACCACAGGAGGGATACAAAGTGAATAAAGTGTAATTAATAAAGAATTAAAAAATAAAAAACTGCTCTCTTCAGTAGCACATATACTAAAATTGGAATGATACAGAGAATATTAGCATAGCCCCCATGCAATGATGAAGCATTCCTGAAGCATTATAATAATCATAATGGCTTTCTATACCTTCTTAAAACAAGGGCCTTAGAAAAAAGTGTAGAAATTTTTATAATTAAAAATTAAAAAGAAAAGAACTATAAGAAAAAGATACAGGATTTGGAAGAAAAAATGAGGAATTTATAGATCAGAATGAACAACAGAGAGAAAAATATAAATCTCGGAGACAACACTTAGAGAAGACATTAGAACAGAAGGCACAAAGTTCTACAGATCAACATGAGAGAAGGCTGAACTATGGAGACAAGATTTACAGGACATCTTATTAAAATAAATAGATAAAAATAAAGTAGATTCTAAAATACCAAATTAGAATATAAGGAAAAAATAAAATATGGAAACAGGGCTTAAAAATGAAAAGATATAAGACCTTATAGAGCAAAATGAACAACAGAGAGAAAAAAAACATCATGGAGACAAGGCTTAAGGAGACATTAGAACAAAAGTTACAAAAAACTATAAATCAGGTTGAACAAAATGCTAGGATGAAAGAGACACAAGCACTAAAGAGGCATGAAATATTGAAGCAAACCTTAAGAAAGGAGTTTAAACTATTAATTACGGAGACTACTCAGAGACAAAATTTAAAAATAAAAAAAGCCAACCAAAGGTTGTTAGAAAACAAACTTAAGCTTACTCAGTTAGTATACAGCAAAAAACCAGCAGATGATAATCATCCACAAAGATTATCAAGAATTTTAATGGCAACCTGTGGATGTGTTGGGTTTGAGAAAATTTAAGGAAAGTGTCACTAATTTTGAAATGCATTTACCATTTGTAACAAACCCTGACTTCTTGGGTGAAAAATAATAGAATAATTCCCCCAAGACTGGAAAGCTACAGCAAAGCAATATCAGAACCTGGGCCACATTTACTGTGACCTTCATGGTGGAGAAAAGAGGAAGGAAGAGATGAAGCCACAAGGACAAGACTGGGGAGCATCAGGAAAAATGAACCAGACCTAGGAGATGATTAAAAAGCAAGTATGACTGGAAAATTTGGAGGGAGGAAACTAGACTAACTTGGAGGTTTAGGATAGAGTAATTATTTCTCAGTATTGTGCATTACACTAAATAAATCCTAGTCTCTCTATGTGGTTAATTGGGAATGCAACTTGTTAAAGAGTAACCACTGCATTACTAATATATGGATCAATATTAATTCTTAATAATCATTCTATAGTTTCATACTTTTTCAGGTCCTACAGATCCAAAAACTACAGAATCTCCATGACACAGGACAACAATAGGATATTGGAGAGGAGTCCCAGTGAAGTTTCAGTATTGACAGAGAGGCACAGGCCAGGGGCCTCATAACAGACCAATGACTCATTGCAATGAATATATGCAAGCAAAGAAGTGTGGACTAAAGGATATACTGAGGGACAGACTGTGACACAGTACACCTTCAGCAATAATATTTTTTTTTTCTCTGTTGAGAGGGAGGTTGCAAGAGTGGAAAGTGGGTGTGAGGGCAGGGGGAAATGAGTGGGGTTGGGATGCATGATGTGAATTTTAAAAGAACCAATAAAAATCTAAAAGAGAAAAAATTGAATGCCAGTATCTGTCATTTTTATGAAAATTCATTCATTCATTCATTCATTAATACAAACTGTTTGGCTTGATCTAAAATAAATACTACATATAATCTGGCCTATATATTTCTAAGCCAATGACACTGGATTAAAGATAAAATAAGAGTCAAGTCTTAATTCTCCATTGGCTCCCTGTGACTTAAACATGTTACTGAGCCTCTCTGAGTCAATTGTTTTATTCATTGTAGAATCATTGTGTTACAAATAACCACATTTGTATAGAAGATGTGCTTTTGGGCTTCAACAAACACTGTTTTACACATAGCTATTTTGATTATTTCTTGTAACTCCTCCTTTGAGCCTTATTTATCTTTCTGTCCATAATGCTTCTGCATAACATACTTAAGGGCCTCAGAAATGCTTTGTGAATAAAAATAAACACAGATGATCATTTCAGTCCCCTCTTTTTGTCTGCCTTCCTTAACCATGTGTGGGCCTTCCAGTTCATCACTGCGATCATTGGCTTTGCAATCTGAAGCCAGCATTAAACTAAATGTTCCGCCTGCACGAAGTCAGAGTTTACAGGAAGTGCTTCCAACTTGATATCTCAGTCACTAACTCCTGAATGTCAATGCCTGAAAGAGCCATGCAACTCTGAGCCAGACTAGCTAAGTTGAATTTTTACGTGAATACTTGATAGTATAACAAACACCTTATCTTCTTAGGCTGCCAACTTTAATATTATTTCCTTGGGCTCCTAAAATTAGATTTAAAAAGCCAGTGTCAACCTTCAGTCAAGATAAATCAGTTTGCATCTTGACCTGAATACCTGACATTAAAAACCACCAACAAATGCTAGAATGCTTCAAAGCACAAGCAAGTTACAACTCCGGGAGGTCATTAAAGTAGCGGAAATGCGCTGTTTTGACTAAAGGACTTAAGCATTGTCTCTGTAAAGTTTTATGAGTACTCCAAAGAACCAGCTTTCTCATCATCTTCTAAATAAACAAAGTCCTAAATTCCACATCAGAGTAGGATAAAAAAAAAAAAAGTTTTGAAATAAGCACACACACCTACTGGCTTAGTTGTGACACATGATTAATATCCATGAGGGCCGCACAATGGCCTGATTGAAGGCTAGCCATTCTGGACGCATCCATTTGATTTGTTTAAGGTGAAATACTACTTTATGAAATGAACACTTCTAAATAATAATGAAAGCATCTCATATAGGAATCCTTCCATCTCTGGTGTACTTTCATTTAAACCAACACTAAATAATCTTATCAATAACAAGTACTATACATCTATGAACAGAACTTACAGAATTATTAAAATGAGATAACCAGAAATTATGATTTTTTTTTCATCAGTTTGCCTTAAGACGTACTCAGAGTAATATCCTGCTGAAGTTCACCAAAGTTACATAAATCAGTAGAACTGAGACCTCAGTAGGACATTCAGCAAATATCTCAACTCTTTTCAGCTCAATGAAACAAAATATTAAGGTACTATATTGCCAGGTAAGGTTTATGAATCAATATAGAAAGAAATAAAAACAAAATTTTCACAAAGTCTTTTCTATAACATTTGCCATGTGAATTCTTTCATCCTGATAATGAACAACTAAACAGGCCCTGTTCTGATAGTTTGAAGGGAAAAAAAAAAAAAAAAAAAAAAAAAAACTATTCTAACAGTGAATAAAGCTTGATTAATTTCTATTTAATTTGAAAATAATGCATTTTTGGATGGAGTCTGTAATAGAGCTCAGAGCTCACAAAGAGTGCAAGAAGTGATGAGGTGTGAGATGGAGCGACCACGGCAGCTTAAAAGGTGGTGATGCCTGAGGACATGCAGCTGAGAATCCCAAGGGATAATGAACTGAGGTGGGCAGTGATACTCCCATGGTGGACATCCATCCGCAGTGTAAAAGTCTTCATCTGAGGGTTTACTCCATTAAGCAGGAAAGGACGGGATTTTTGAGCTATAGAAGATGGACCCTGTCTTTGTACTATCTCCTGTATGGCATATACCTACAGTGACATGAGGTCAGCCAGCAGCTCTCAGAGACTAACAGCCATCATGTAACTTTCACAAGTGGCTTGTTTTGAAACACAATGATGCTAGGTATGGCTGTTGTTCATGTGTGCCTCAGTCCACATTGATTGGTTTGCAAGACAAGATAGTATGCTCCGCTCCGTGAGGACATAAGGAATAGTGTAATAGTATGCAGCGCATAATTCATGACCTGAAAATACTGAGTAAGTGGAGGAAGGATGTAAACAAAGAAGGAAGGAAGTCAACCTCAATCAGGGTCAAAGATGATATCATACTCCAAGTGTTTCCAAAATACAGTGGAAGAACAGAATTTATCAGTGTGTAAAACACATGGTTTTTTTTGTACAATTTTTGTGCTAATTATGAAATTTCTAAAGAAAGACTGCTTAAGCCAGAGAGTACAACTTAAACATTGTAGTACCCAGGGTACACATATACAATTAGTTAAGAAATCTATTGATCTACCAAAATTCACAATTATAATAATGTTAAGCCAGGAAGTGATGGCACACACCTTTTTTTTTTAAATTTGATTTCTCCCTTTTATTTGGCTCGGGTATGTGGTGTCTTTTTTTTTCTTTTTTATTTATATTTTTATTAATTACAGTTTATTCACTTTTTCCCACCTGCAGCTTCCTTCCTCTTCCCTTCCCAATCCCACCCTCCCTCCCTCTTCTCCACCCATGCTCTGAAGAGCTTAAGATAGCCTGAATATAACTCCATTTTGAAATAAAGATCTTGACTGGGAACTGAATTCAGGTACCAGGAAATATCAAAGAATGTACACCTGGCAGAAAACAAAGTTAACTCTCCTAGCAACAGCCTCTAGGAAATATAACAGAATAAATGCTTCATAGAAAATGGAGACAAACTCCCTGGCAATAATCAATGGGAATCAGTTGAGAATCGGGTGGGAAAATTCTCCCCAATGTTTCAGATATGGTTTAGAAAAATAGCCATTGTGATTATATGCTTTAGCCATTGTGATTATGTGCCTCAGAAAAGGTCACGCCGCCCTGCTAAACTTCACCCAATTCTGTAACGCCAAGGCTTGTGCCCCCCTGCTTGCTGCCATGGAAACCCCCAGTTCACAGACTTTCCCTTTAAAAATCCTGTTCACTCAGAGCTTGGGGTCCCACTTCTCTACTGCTGCGCCAGTGAGACTTGGGTCCCGAGTTTGATCGCTCTCGTAATAAAGCTCTCTTGCAATTGCATCAAGTCATCTCCTGGTGGTCTCTGAGGGTCTTGTGAACCTGGCATAACACCCCTCTCCCAGTCCACTGATAGGGGAGGTCATCCTTCTCATCCTAGTCTATCAGGTCTCATCAGGAGTGACTGCATTGTCTTCCTCTGTGGTCTGGTAAGGCTGCTCCCCCCTCAGGGAGAGGGGATCAAAGAACCA